TTGAGCGGTAAAGGTTGTGTGTTTTTTCTTTTTGACATTTAATTTTGCAGCCAAACGAGAACATTCTCCCAGATTGTTGAAAAAAAGAACAACTAGGAAGCATGCAAATATAAAAAGGTAGGAGAAAATCAGCTGAATAAACGTTTATGACCATGACAAAATCCCTAGATATCTAGACAGGGCGTTCAAAATTTTCAGCCATGGGTGAAATGTCTTGACCCTTATTTTGTTACAAAGAAAAGAAACTAATGCTGGAATCCTGTTGGGGATTTATGTCTTCATAAGTGGATTTATGAATGCAGGGATGAGAATTGCCGAGTTGTCTAATGTTCATATCCAGTAAAGGGCTGCTGTCATGTTCTTACATTGCAAAGCCAGCAAAATGCCCAATGTGTATTGGTGCTTAATGCACAACAGGTCTTGATGCACATTGGCCACAAATGCACATCTGGCACTCTTGCCCGTGACCCATTATGCATCTTCACAATGCAGTAAAGGAGTTTTGTTGCACCTCTGTATGTAATGTAACAGGTCATATGCATTTTTTACCTACACAAGTTTTGATGCAGTTTTGTTTCTCACATTTCTGTGCCTTTCCAAAGGTGTGCAACTCATGTCATGGGCCAAATCGCTTTGATATTTCCCTGTTATTTCTCACACTGCACATTGATTTGCACAATCCATGATGGAGAAATCAGTCCCATTTACTTGTTCAGATACTTTAAGCTTCAAGATTGTTTAATCCCCAATATGAAGAAATTTTTGCAAATTTTAATAAATTTTGGATGCAAGGATCTTTGAGGAGTTACACAGATTGGGATTTAAGAGATCAGGGTGCAAATCTCCACTGAATAGATGCACAAGGGAGGGATGGTTTTTGACCAATCATTCATTCTCAGCCTCAACCCACAAGATAAAGGATAAAGACTAAAGTTGTAAGGATAATGTGAGGAGGAATAGAATAGGAATGGAAATAAAATTTGAAAATATTAAAAAAAAAGAAAAAAAGAAAAAAGGTTAACCCCCCTCCCCTGCCAGATTTCTGGAGTGTCAGGAAAACCAGAGAGCAGAACCCTAAGTAAGAGATAATCTTCACAGTTTGGGACTTACTCTGTTTGCAAAGTGCATGTGTATGTCTTGCGTGTGCATGTATGCAGAAAGCAGCCTTTCCTGTACAGAAAAAAAAAATCTGTATTGTTGTTGTGTGCCTTCAAGGTGTTTCTCACTTATGGCAATCCTAAGGCAAATCAATCATGGAGTTTTCTTGGCAAAATTTGTTCAGAGGAGGATTGCCATTGCCTTCCTCTGTGGCTGAAAAGATGTGACTTGCCCAAGATCACCCAGTGGCTTTCATGGCCGAGCTGGGAACTGAACCCTGGTGCCTAGAGTCATAGTTCATCATTCAAACCACTATACTGCTCTCTCCCATTTCTGTATCATGTGCAGAAAACAAGAAAATGCTGTTTTCCATACAGAAATGTTACTTTCTGTGCAGAAAAACACACACATGAATTTGTCTGTACAGAATAAGTTTCAAACTGTGGATAGTTTCAACAACTGCAGAGATTTTGATTGATTTCTTACAGTGAGGGAGAAAAAAAGGTTAAATTATCTAGTTTTTCCTGTGAGAATTGAAAGATTTACATTCCAGTAGGAGAACCAGACCTGTAGCCCTAAGCTCAATGGAGTAAAGGTACAATGTGAGTATAATCCATAAAAAAAGACAGAAGGGTTTCCCTAGAAGATCTCAAAACATGGGCACGTTCACATGGGGGAATATAGTCCTATAAGTAATGCTGAAACCAGCCATAATTAAGCAGTGGTAGGATGATGCTCTCAAGACTCAATTATGGTTGGCTTTAATATCTCATTATAATTCTTTTTCTTAAAGGTAACTTTCCAGGTTTTATTATTTTTGAAACTCTCATGTTCTTTCCATTCACAGTATGAAGGAATTAGCCAATCTGGATAGATTCTTATCAAAAGCAATTGAATCATCATCATCATCATCATCAAATTTTTATTTCTTTTTTGTCTCTCCTTAAGGCTCGTGATAGGGTACAACATGTTAAAATACAAAACATAATTTAAAAAGAAAACACATAAAACCAACAGTTAAAATACAATACTAAAAACCCATTAAAATACACTCATATAATACATTCCTTAAAATATATGAGTTAAACATTATGATTTAAAATTGACTGGGCAGGCCTACTGGAAAAGATGTGTCTTTAATGTTGTTTTAAATACTATTAGCATTTTCAGCTGTCATGTCTCTTCTGGCAGGTCAATCCACAGTCTAGGAGCAGCAGATGAAATGGTCTTCTGGGAAACTGTTGCTAGTCTAGTTCTGGTCAGTTGGAACAAACATTTCCCAGAGGACTTCAGTGTACAGGGCAGATTGTACAGGAGAAGGTGATCCTGTAGGTAACCTGGCTCTAAACCACGTAGGGCAGGGGTAGGCAACCTTTCTCCTTTAAGGGCCGAGGGATTTCAGCTCCCAGAATCCCAGGAGCTATTGGCCAACATGGGACTGAGGCTTCTGGGAGCTGAAGTCCCTTGGCCCTTAAAGGGGAAAGGTTGCCTACCCCTGACTAGGGCTTTAAAGGTATAAGCAACACTTTGTACTTTGTCCAGAAACTAACTGGCACCCAGTGGAGTGATTTTAAGATTGGTACATCCAGGAGTGATCACATTACATCAATCATCAATGTAGCTTGCCATATCCTCAACCAGTTGGAGTTTCCAGATTTGTTACAAAGGTAGCTCAATATAGAGTGCGTTGCAGAAGTCCAGTCTTGATGTTACCAGTGTGTGCACTACCATCTTTAGGCCCTCCAAGGTGCACAGTTGATCCTTTAGGTCCTCCAAGGAGCCACAGTTGGCATATCAGCCGAAGCTGATAACAGGTCTCACACACCCATGCCCCCAAAACCTATACAGCAATAAAAGAAGAACTGTAAAAACTGTAACAAAAGAGGCTCCTCTGTTGCTGGAAGATATTCCAGATGGTTGATGCTGGATGATACATACATGAGTGTTTCTCATCATGAGGATTATTGAACAGTACAAATAAATCACCTATTCTCATGAAAAAGAACAAGAATTCCAGCCAATATTGTAGGAAATGGCTTGTTCATTCACTGAATGTACAGATTTTCTGGCCCATGTTGCAACTTTCCTGCTGACTGGATCTAAATTCTTTGTGATCTTTATAAGCCTTTAATATCATGGTTGAACATGGGCTTGAAAAATGAACCAAAACAAGGATCTGAACTGATCCAACCTTAGACTCTCTGTTGGTGTTGAGAGCAATTGAACTAAAATGTCACTTACAGTTAGCTTAGGGTAATTATTAGAGATTTGAGTGGAAACTGCTGTGTTGCTACCAGATTTTTGTGGGGATTTGTTTAATTAAAAATGCTGTTATTTGCATGATGAATGCTTCATAGCTCAGACTGTGTTTGCACAATGTCCCCCCCTTTTTTTTAAAAAAATTCTATAATCCAGTGGAAAGCTCTCCTTCTCAAGCTCTGTAACAATGAATGGGAATGTTGCAAGAAAACTATAGATATTATCATGCAGCCATTAATTTTCAAGTGAGCTTCATGCAGTTGTACTGCAATGCTGTTGCATTATGGCTCATGTTATCAATATGCTGAATCGATGAGAAGAAGAACTCCAGAAAACTGCCTTGAGAGACACTCTTAGAATCCTTTCGCACTACATAATCATGGTGCTATGATTCCACTTTAGCTGCCATGGCAACCTCCCATGGAATTCTAGCATTTGTAGTTTGGTGAGGCAGTGAAACTTTATGGCTCAGATTCTAAGTACCATTGCCTAAACTGCAAATCCCATGACTCCATAGGATGCTGTCATGGCAGTTACAATGCAATCGTAGCACTATAATAGTGCAGTGTGAAAGGGCCTTTAGAGTCAAATTGTTTTCCTTCATGATTCACATTCAAATATTTTTAATGCATCTGTGGAGTATGTGCCTCTATTGATGAAATGTGCCTCGATTGAATGTACATAAATAGAAGGCGCTTGTTTGGTGAGAAAGTTGGTTCCATTTGGGCCTGGTTAGTCTAAGTTAAAACAAAAATATATAATATAAACTTTAACAAATTGAATAGACAGTCCTGTTAGAACATTAAAATAATAAAATCAAGTATATTCTTCATATTACACCATATTATACCATAATGTAGTATAAAGATGAGGGCAATCATCTTTATGGGTCAGAATTCAAAGATTCCCATTGAATTTAGCTTATTCATTATTTAATTTGAAAATAACAAATATGTTTGCCCGGGAAAACTAGAGTCTGCTCCCTGTGAGTAGAATGATGTATAGTCAATAATTCTATTCTTGTTCAGGGTATCCTGGGAATTTTAATCATTACAGGTAGGCAGGGTTTTCATTTTAATTTAAAAGCATATGTTATATCCAGACATTAATTTAAAGGAGTGTTTTTTTAAAAACAAATCCAGATAGTCTGGTCTGAGCTACTTGTGTAACTTTTGGCGAATTCTATTATTTACCTTGGCTACCATGGGTAAAGTAAACAGAAATTGCTGTGTTTCAGTTATACTGCATACCATGACCTATGTTAGTCCCAAGCAAAAACGTCTCTCTCATAAGAAGTTCTGCATTACAGCACAGTCTACTGGAAAAGAGCACGGCCCATTGGAAGGAATGGAACATTTGCAGGAGACAATCGGGCGAAGAATTCTCAGTTCTGATGATGCCATAAAAAGTGTAGTAGTGTGTCAATACTTGATAGTGTATGATCTGACCTGAGCAGTCAGATTCCAACATGGAGTATGAAACATTAGCAGTGATCTAATACAAAACCATTTAAGGATCAGATTTCCTGCTGGGGAAGGAGAAAGACCAACTAGCTTTCTTCTTTTTCATTTGAATTTTTGGAATGAAGTCTAATTAAGTGCAATGTTAATATTTTGTCACTTGAACCTACTGTAGTTGAATAAGCCAGAGTGGTATAGTGGTTTGAGTGTTAGACCATGACTCCAGAGATCAGGGTTCAATTCCTTACTTGGCCATGGAAACCCATTGGGTGATCTTGGGTGAATCACACACACTCACTCCTAGAAAACCCTGTGATAAGTTTGCCTTAGGATCACCACAAGTGGGAAACAACTTGAAGGCACACAACGCACACAAAGCTAAGTATCAGGTGGAAAGGCTTAGAAGGATGGAAAGAAGCTTTGGTAGACTTGACAGTCTTTTTGCAAGCCCTGAGACTTGTTGTGAGAAAATCAAGACTTTGGTTCATGCACTCCCAGGGCATTTCAAGAAATAAAGGCCAGAATCCTGTTGATGTCATTTGCATGCATAATCTGGCATTAAGTGAACATATGTCCTATTTGTGATTTTCCAGAAAGAGATAATCAGTAAACCCTCCTCACTGAAAAGCAGTGCCAAAGGGCTGGGGATATTCCAGCTGTTCAGTGGTATTTATGTATGATATTCTCCTATTTCATCCCCATGCCTGGTACAATACTAAGTGCATTTCCCATTTTAGCTTTTAAAAAAAATTAAGGTAAATAACACTTCCATCATTTAACCAGAGTAGAATAACTAACAAATTTCTCTCATCATCTTTTTCCTGTACAATTGTATTGCAGATAATGTACCTCATAACCTTGTGTGTCCCATGAGTATTCCAGTCAAACCAAGAGTTCATTGTTTTCTGGCTGGGTAGCAATCATAGACTATAGCAAAGCCTTTGATTGTATAGATCATGAATGAGTCCTAATGAGGAATCTGTACTCAGGACAAGAGGCTACTGTCAGAACAGAACATGGAGAAACAGAATAGTTCCGAATTGGCAAAGGAGTCAGACAAGGCTTCATCCTATCACCCTACCTATTCAACTGATATGCAGAACACACTGTAAGAAAAGCAAGCTTGGACATGGAAGAGTGAAAATAGGAGGAAGAAATATCAACAGTTTGAGATATGCTGACGACACCATAATACTAGCAGAAAACCTCACAGATCTGAAACAACTACTAAGGAAGATCAAACAAGAAAGTGCAAAGGCAAGCTTACTGTTCCAAAAATTCAAAAGAAAAAGAAGAAAAAAATAATGACCACAGAGAACTTACACACATTCAAACTAGACAACGAGGAAATAGAATAGTAAAAGAGTTCTCATATCTGGGATCAAACATTGATTGGAACGGGGACTGCAGCCAGGAAACCAGAAGAAGATTAAGAATGAGGAGAGCAGCTATGAAAGAACTAGAAAAGATTCTAAAATACAAAGACATACAACTCAGCACAAAAGTCAGAATCATACAGACCCTTGTATTCCCTATTACTTTGTATGGATGTGAGAGCTAGACAGTGAAGAAAAAAAATAGGAGGAAAATTTGAGATGTGGTGCTAGAGAAGAGTGGTGAAGATTCCATGGACAGCCAAAAGGACAAACAATTGGGTCCTAGAGAAGATCGAGCCAGAGATATCTCTAGAAGCCAAGATGACAAGACTTAGACTGTCGTACTTTGGACACATCATGAGAAGGCATGAATTGTTGGAAAAGACAATAATGTTAGGAAAGGTAGAGAGAAGTAGGAAGAGAGGAAGGCCACATGCTAGATGGATGGGCTTTATTAAAGAGATCATGAATAAGAGTTTGCAGGAGCTGGGCAGAGCAGTAGAGGACGGGGGCCTGGAGATGTCACATCTATAGGGTCGCCATGGGTTGAGATCAACGTGAAGTCAGTTAACAACAACAAAGCAATCATGAACCAATTTGGTATCATAGTTTGTGTGTTGTAACAGGACTCTGAGAGACCATGTTTAAAATCTCTACTCAGTCATGGAAACCCTTGGCCAAGTGCCATTCTTTCAGTCTTAAAGGAAGGCAATGGTAATCCTCCTCTGAACAAATTTTGCCAAGCAAACCGTATGTCAACATAATTTGGAGTTGACTTGAAAGCACATAACAAGAACAACAAAGAAATCATTACAAAACTTCTAGAGGACACAATTACCAAAATGAATTTAGTTGGTAGGAGGTTTGATATCTTCTGATATAGGCAAGAAGTGCAAAAGGACATTCTAAATACATCTTCTCTTTGGTTATTCCTTTCAGTAAACTGATTTTACTTATAAGCTTTTCACAGGGGTTAATGGACAAAATGAGCCAGTGTGGCATTGTGGTTTGAGCATTAAACTAGGACTCTGGAGATCAGAGTGTGAATCCTAGTTCAGCCATATAAACCCACTGGGTGACCTTTGGAAAGTCACATTCTCTCAGCCTCAGAGGATGGCAATGGGAAACCCCCTCCGAAGACACTTGCTATGCATTAGGGTTGCCATAAGACAGAAATTACATGAAGGCACACAACAACGACAGCAACAATGGACAATATACAAAGTACAATGGTGTCCAGGTTTCCAACATCATAACTGCTGAGGCTACCAATCTCACAACTGCTGCTCCTTCTACTTGTAATACACACATGCATGCATTCACACTATATTTGGGGCCAGTGGTTCAGAAGGAGAAAGAAACTTAGGGGGGTTGCAGACTGCCAGAAATAGTGCAAATTGAGTCCACTTTTAGGGTTAGGGTTAGGGTTAGGGAATCATGGGAACTGTAGTTTATTGTGGCACCAGAGCTCTCTGACAAAGAAGGCTCAGTGTCTCAGAAAAAAACAAAACAATTCCCATGACTCCCTAGCACTAACCCTAACCATTAAAGTGGACTCAGTTTGCACTATTTCTGGCAGTCTGCAACCCCCCTTTGTTTGCTAAACCTCACCCCCAAGAAACTGCCTGAGTATTTCTTCTTCACTTGAAGAGTTTCAGTAGAATGGCTTCCTTCTTCTTACCACCATTTCTCTGTCCACAGTTATGATGCATAATTTTGAAAGGCCTTGTACATAGCTTTAGATTTCACTAAGTGGTCACACTAACAATGTAGCTTAGTTTGTGGTGGCGAATGTGAAATTACATGACACCATCCCTATGAAAAAAGTCTTCCTGGAACTCTTTTTCTTACCCTTCAGAATTTGTCTCAGAGATACTCTCCTACTTCACTTAGAATTTCGCTTCAGGCAACATCTTGTGACAACACAAACAACTCTGAGTTCCTTTCTCAGAGCTGAAGATTTGGGATGTGTGTGTATGTGTGTGTGATGTGCCTGACCAGTCAATAAATTGATCCAACAGAGGGGGGACTCCTTAAGAAATTTTCATCAGTATTTGGGTTTCAAAACTCCTCAAAGGAATAACATCTCTTGCTTTAAATTTTGGGCTAAATCCAATTTCATTCCCAGCTAGACCAAATAAAATGAATAAAGCTTGTTAAGTCACAAAGATAAACTCTGTTGATTCTAATGGTGCTGTTCTAGTTGTGGCTAAAATTGGATTTAGCCTTCGGTGATTCAATAAGCAGTTAGGAAATTCAGTCATTTGCTCAGCCCTATTAATGAGGACAAGATTGGACAAATATAGAGAATGGGGAGGGAAGAACATATGTGGAATTTTGGGAAAACATGTGATTCATATAATAATAATATAATAATAAATTTTTATTTGTAACCCACCCCTCTGCAGAGCAATCGGGGCGGCGTACAACAAGATAAAATACAACAATTAAAATCCAGATTCTTTTTCCCTCCACCCACTACCCTCCCCCTTAAAACAGCATTAAACCTAATAAGATTAAAATCTATGTATAACAAATATAAAATATT